AATATTTTAAACTAAAAAGTAGCAAAAAGGCTGGACATGGTGGCTCACAACTTTAACCTCATTACTTAGGAGGCATTAGCATGGAGACTTCTGTGTGTCCAGGTCAGCCACAGTCAGTGAGTTTCAGATCAGCCAAGTCTACACAGTGAGACCCTGTGCCTCCCTCTAAAGAAAGTAACAAAATTTTTACATAGCAACTAAAAATGGCAATGTCCCCTCAAAGAAAACTATCAGGGAATGAAAATTCTACAAAGAAGAAATACAAAGTGTTAATAGATATATGTTCATCTTATTTGAATATTGGAAAGTTGCTAATTACATAGGATTCTGTTTATTAAATTTCCAAATGTTGTTTAAATATTAAAATCAACATTAGAAAGCTAATTAGCTCACCTGATTGAAAACATAACTCTGTACCTTTCTAAAGTTTCTCTGAAAGAACAGTAAAAGAATGAGAAGGATAGAAGCCCATCAAGCTATAGAAATGTGACAATAGGCAAAAAATGTCACAAAGTTCAGAAGTCTGAAAAGCATATATGAGTTGAATTCAATTAGCAAACTAGGAAAACAAAATCAAAAACTGCTATGGGTGGGGAAAGAAAAGGGCTGACTCTTGCCAGAGAAGTCCTCAAAGCCTTAGGGCAGATAGGAAAGCAGCAAAATCACAAACAAGCAACCCAACCTCCCCAGAAAATCAGCTGGCTGAAAGTGGCCTGAGCCTGAACACCAAGCTGCCCTTGGCTCTCTGTCTCCATCTAGTGGTGGAGATGGGAGCTGTGCCTTCAGAAAGTTGGGAAAGTGACTGCTCATGGGGAGATGGTTTGGTGGGTTAAACGATTGCTGGGTTTGATCTTTAGCACCCATGTAAAAAGCAAAAAGCATAAACAAACAAAGAAGCAAATAAAAGATGTTACCCAGATAGGTGTCAAAGCTTGCAATTCCAGCACTGGGGAAGCGGAGATAGGTGAGGCTCACTGACCACCGAAGACGTTAGGGGGAGAAGTGGAGCGTGAATATGATTAAAATGTATTGCATGACATTTTCAAAGTGTTAATAAAAATATTATATTAACGAGGAATGATAAGCCCAAGGTGGTCCTCTGGCCTTCGCATGGAGTCCCACACATGAACACATGTACATGTAAGAATGATCCTAGACTTGGGAGTCTGAAGCACAGTTAGGGTTAGAAAGACGAATAGTTTAATGGGCCTCTTCTTCCTTCACAGAGCTCCTCACATAGCCAGCTGGTATAATTCAGATCTTAAGTGTTCTGGGGGAATTTCTGGTTGCTGGTGGTACATTTAGATGAGCCATGAACACAACACTGTGGACACACTCTTTTCCTTTTCTTCTTAAATTTATTTATTTATTAAAAACCCCCATCTTTTCTCATTTTACAAACCAAGCCTGTTTCTCACTCCTTCCACCTCCCTGCCCCATCCCATGTTCACTCAGAGTGGGTAAGGCTTCCCAGGGGGAGTCAAAATGTCTAGCACATTGCTTTGAGGCAGGACCAAGATCCTGTACATTATATCTAGGCTGAGCAATGTATCCCTCCAAAGAGAATGGGTTCCAAAAAAGTCAGTACAAGCAGTAAGAATAAATTCTGGTCTCATTACCAGTGGCCCTACAGTCTGCAACTGTCATACAACTGGGGGACATACTCTTGAATTGTGGCTGATTTTCTCTGGGACTAAACAGCTGTGGGGTACTGGGAGGCACAGAAAACACAAACAAGCTGGCCCTCATGTTACAGAATGGCACCCAACGTGGATAACTGAATCCACAAAAAGCCTGAAAAAGCTTGGGAAAGACTAGAGTAAAGCATTTTGCTTTTCAGCCATAGCAGGAAAAAAGCTGTGCTGTTTTAAAATGCCGGCTTTCTGGGCCGGGGAAAACTCTGACTCTTTCAAGCAGGCCGTTCTGACTATGAAAACATTGTTGCAGTTTGCTTCCTGGCAAGGACCTTGAAACGCCATAGGAGCTTTTGAGTGTTGTTTTCTCCATATTCCTTAGCAAATTAAAGACCCATGTGGTCAGAAAGAGAGAGAGAGATACAGTAAAGAGAAATTAAAAAAAAAACCTCTAAATGATTTAAAGTCCTTGAAAGAAAGAGAGTAATTGGATATGGTGGTACACACCTTTAATCCCAAGGCTTGGGAGGCAGAGGCAGACAGACCTCTGTAAATTCAAGGTGTGATGGCAGACACCTTTAATCCCAGCACTGGGGAGGCAGAGATAGACGGATCCCTAGGAGTTCAAGGATAGCCTGGTCTACAGAGGGTATTCCAGGACAAAGATATGCAGAGAACCTGTCTCAAAAAGCCAAAAGTTAAAAATAAAAATAAAAAAATAGAGGTTAAAATAAAGCCACGTAAAGATGGAAAATACACAGAGAATCTTGATACTGTATGCTATTATACTCTCTTTGAATTGTTTAAATGCTGAGGAAGGAGCAACAGTTACTAAAAGATATTTGCTTATAAATGCTGCAGAATTAACCCAAAATAGGTATTTTGAAAATACCTTGGCTTCAGAATTGAAGTCAAAAGGTATGTTACTTTGGAGAAGAGATTTTGCTTTTGTTTCCACAGAAAATGAGAGGCTCTGGATTTATTCAGAGTTAAGAAAAATCATCTTTGACCAAGGGAGACCACCTGAGCAATCTCCGGTAGGAACAGATGACCCAGATGTCTGAGTTCTTCACCCAGAACAGGTTCAAGACCGCTGCCTGAGATGATCAAGACTCACAGGATACTTCAGTCAGGACTTGATCATAACTCTAAATTTTCTTTAGGTCCCCATAAGATTATCAGCACCCCCAACCAGCAGGAAGTAGCCTGGAATACTACGCCCACACTTCCAAAAACTGGACTATGGATATTTTCCTTTGTTTGTTTGTTTAAAAAAAAAAGAGGGGGAAATGGTGCGGGAGAATTGTCTGTATTCTGTCAATCATGTTTTAAATAAAACGCTGATTGGCCAGGCAGGAGGTGTAGGTGGGAAAACCAGACAGGAAGTGGAAATGATGCAAGGAGAGCAGGAGAATTCTGGGGAGGAGGAAGTTGATTCCTCTCACTCCTGCCCAGACCACCAAAGCCGCAGGATGTGAGCTGCCCCACTGAAAAAGGTACTGAGCCACCTGGCTAAAATAGATCAGAAAAATGGGTTAATTAAGATGTGAGAGTTAGCCAGTAAGAAGCCTGACCCAATGGGCCAATCAGCATTATAACTTATAGAGATCTATTGTGTGGTTGATTTTCTCTGGGGATGCCCCACGTTGGGTGCTATTCTGTAACATGTTGGGCCTGCTTGTTTGTGTTTTCTGTCCCCGCCTGGTACCCCACAACCGGCAGGCCCCAGAGAAAATCAATCATTGAATGGGATAGGAATGTTGGCTCCTTTTCTCTGTTTCCTTGCTAAACTGAGGTAAACAACTTTTTTCTTCCAAGTGTTCTCTACTACAATACTCTGCCTCACCACAGACTCAGAAACAATAGGCTAACTCATCACAGACTGAAATATCTCAAATAAAAATAATATTTTCATCTTTTGAGTTTTTTAAAATGCATTTGTTATAACAATGAAAACCTGACTAAGAGCAGCCTAGCTCATAAAATGGTCCCATCCAATTTTCCCAGCAAGTCATACAATTTATCCTTAGGAGAACTGACTACCTAAGAGAAAAGACATATGGGCAGAAAGAGGTAGAAGTCCTCATGGCTCTAACCTAACCATAGGGAACTCAGGAGCTGACAAACTTTGCTGACACACACCAAAACTTTTCATAGCTCTTTACCGCTTTTGCTTAGAAATAGCAGTGGCTTACTAGACATCTGCGGAAAAAACAAACTTGAACTTGTTAGAAACAGAATAAAGTACCAGAAACAGAAGCAGCTTCAAAACCTACTACAAACATCTTCAGAGTTATAAGAAATATGACACATAAAACAAGAATGGGAGAATATTTTTTAAAGGCACATTTGAAGAACAGTGGTTCTTTGACATTAAAAATTACAGCAAAAATAAAATTGAACAGAAACACTGAAAGATAAAATTCAGCAAGATTCTTATGGGCTAGAGGGAAAGATAAAGATGAATAGTAAAAATAGGAGAGGAGGAAAAAGAAGAAAGATGATTCTAAGAAATTCATCATCTGAATTTCAATTTCAGAAGAGACCACATAAGAATAGACTATATAGACTGCAAAAAGTACATTTCTTTGGACTGAAGCAAGTTTCCCAACTGTAAGAGCACACTGTTCACTTGGTACAAAAATAAGTGTTTAAAAGGCTAACTCATGCACAGGAGAACTAATGTTACAATAATTCACAGAAAGACAAGGTCAAGATACTTTTCATACAAAAACGAATAACAAAAAGATCAGTATTCAAACTGCATCGATTTTAAAATGGCAGTAAATGTAGTACAGCTTAATAAAGAAATATTGAGGCACACAGAGCTACACAATAAATATTTGCTGACTAAACTAACACAGTTTTACACAGTATTAAATGATTTCAGAAAAGGGTCAGGAAATAAAATTCTGTATAAGCAAAATCTTTATTACTCAATATAGAATACAATAATTATGAATAAAATGGCTTAAAGATTATTTCTGAGAGGTAAGATTGTGAATGATTTTTATTCTTTTAAAACTTTAAAAAAATTTCACAATGAGAATGTATTTATGCAGGTTTATGCGATCAAAAATAGTAATAGCAACCAAGCATGTGGCTCACACACATGACCTGTGTGTCTCAGTAGAAGAGGTAGGGGGATCAAAAGTTCAAGGCCAATCTTGGTCAGATAATGAGTTCAAGACCAGCCTGAGCCGGTTGAGACAGTGCCTCAAAAATACCATAATTATCAAAAGTTAAAAAGAAGAAAAATAAAAAAGCTAATGATGAAAATAAAGGTAAAAACAATTTTCAGATTATCAAATCATTCTAAATATGTTTATCCTTAGTATTTTCAACATCCCCCACCCTCAGGTTTACCTTGGTCCAGAGTCACTACCATTCACATCAAGATTGAGTTCTTGGGGCTTAGGAAACTCTTTATCAGCAACCAGTTCTCGGGACTTAAATAGAGCTTGAGTCCTTAACCTGTAAAAATAAATTTAAGAATGTCTAACCTCAAAGCACCTGACAGACTCAACACACACACACACACACACACACACACACACACACACACACGTCCTAAATATACATTAAGTAAGCCCATCAGTTTACAAGACTTTAGATTTTCCATATAGAAGCATGTGGGAAAAGTGAACTGGTGAGAACATGATTTTAAAACTCAAGACTGTATATGAGTGTTTTGCCCATTGTGTTAGTTATTTTGCTCTTAGTTACTTTTTTCAGTTGCTGTGATAAAACATTAGACCAAAAAGTCTGAGGGAGAAAAGGCTTATTTGGCTCCCAGTTTGATGGTGTAGTCCATCACAACAGAGAGGACCTGAAAGTAAGAGGTTAAGGCAGCTGGCCACATTGTATTTGTGGTTAGGAGGCAGAGGAGATAAATGCTAGACTTCAGCTAGACTTTCCCTTTTCATGTAATCTAGGACCTGAGCTCAAACAACCATATACCCACAGAGTGAGGTCTTCCTACCTTAATCAACCTAACCAGGATAGGCCTTTACAGACAAGCCTGGAGGCTTGTTTTACGTGATTCTCGATTCTGTCAACTCAACAATCAACATTACTATCACAATTTTCATTACTGTTACAAAATACACAAGTAAATAAATTAATGGGGGAAAGTTTTATTAAACTCATGGTTTGTATTTCTATTTCTGTGGGTCTGCAGTGAGGCAGAAGAGCATAGCAGAGGAAAGCTGCTCTCCCCATGTGAGCCTGGAAGCAGAGAGGGACAGAAAATATCCATCAAAGGCACACATTTGACAGGTCTGTCTTGTAGATTTTACCAAGTCATAATAATGCCAGAAATTGTGAATTATCAATAGCTTTAACAGAAAAGATCAACTCATTGATGTGTTAATGGATTATTCCATTGGCTCAATTACTTGATTAGACCAGAGCCCTTATGAGCCAATCATATCCCTTAAACTCCATCTCTGAACACTGGACTTTATGACTGAGCCTACGCCATATGGGCCTTTTGAGGAAACACTTTAAATAGAAGCCATTCAAGTCATCATGGTCAAAATAAAGACTTTTTTAATTCTCAAGTATTATTGACTGTAAAACATAAACTTAGGAGGTATCCAGCTTCTCATGGTGACACTTCAAAGAGTTGGGAGATCAGTGACAATTGATTTTCTTTGGGACACAGACAAAAATAGAACTAGGTGTCCTGGTTAATTTGTCAACTTGACATAGGCTAGAGTCATTTGCGAAAAGGGAACCTCTACTGAGAATGGCCCCAACCAGATTGGCCTATGGGCACTTTCTTGATTAATGATTGATGTGAAAATGTTCAGTTCACTATGGCCAGTTCCCTCCACTGCTGGTGGTTCTTGGTGCTGTAAGAAGGCTGAGCAAACCACAGGGAGAAAATGAGTATGCAGAGTTCCTCCATAACTTCTGCTTTGGTTCCTTCCTTAATTCTTACCCTGACTTCCTTCAGTGATGGACTATTACCTGGAAATAAACCCTTTCCTCTCCAACTCGCTTTTGTTCACAGTGTTTTATCACAATAGAAAACCCAAGACAGAAGGCATGGTATCTACTGAGATTAAGACCATACTCACATGTACTAAGAATGGAAGGCTGTTGAAAATATCCATACAAAAACCTTCCTAGAATTTAGGGATCAATCACTGATAACAAACATGTGATGCTGAACATCCATCCCTTCAGCTTTCAGAAAATGAGTTCTGATTACATGTACAAGTATATTCTTTAACTGTGAAAAAAAATCGAGGAGGAGGTAGTGCACACCTTTAGTACCAACATGTGGCAGGAATAGGCAAGTGGATCTCTGAGAGTTCGAGGCCAGTCTGGTCCACAAAACAAATTCCATGACAGCCACAACTGTTACACAGAGAAATCCTGTATCAAAAAACCAAAGCAACCAACCAACCAAACAGAACAAGAAAACAAACAAAAGTTATTTAAAAAAACTATGAAATGTTTTGTAAAAGAACCATGAACATGGTATTTTCACCATCACAAGACATTCTTTCAGTTGTAATTATGGTAATAAACAAAGAATTTACAGTATTATTATTTTGTAGTGACATGCAAATGAACACAAGTGTCAAATGCTAAAATCAGGTAATTATGAGAAAAGAGTAAGAAAAACTGTAATAACAGCAGTCAGTAGCAATCACTTATGGAATATTTCTTACATATATTATTTTGTTAATACTCATAAATACCCCAGAAGTAATAACTTTATTATATGTTTTTATAGAGGAAAGAGTAGCAGGCCTAGGCACAAAATTTACCCAAGGTGGAACACTTTTAAGTGGTAAAGGTGGTACAGTTCTCATAGCTAGGTATACAGTATATTTAGTATAAATGAGGAAAAACAAAGACAATATTTATGAATAGCTTAGACTTTATTCACTACAAATGCATTCTTAATCCCAAAGGAGCTTATGACACTGCAATCAGTTGTATTCTGGATAAATCTTTAACCAGTTTAGAAAGGACTCACAAAGAAAGACTTTCTGCAAGCACTGACTATGTATGTAATTTCAAGGTGGCAGAACCAATTATAAATCAGAATTTAAGTAAGTGTTAACTGAAGGGACAAAACCAACTCTGTTTTGTCCTAGGCCCCAAGGTGGTTGTCAGCAGAGCAGGAAGTTCCCTAGACTGGAGCCCAGCTGCTGAAGGTGTTGTCAGCAGAACAACAAGTTCCCTAGACTGGAGCCCTGCTGCTCAAGATTGATATCAGCAGAGTGGATAGTCCCCTGGACTGGAGCCAACCAGAGAGTCACCTGTACCCCTTATGTCCTAAACAATAGATTTGTGGGTTTTTTCCCCTTTATAAACCCTGCCTAAGAACAGTGGCATGTGGTATACTTCCTCTGGCTCACACTGCGTTGGTGTGCAAGAAGAGGTCCAAATTACAATTTGCATAATTAAATCTTGCTTTTGCATTTTGATGAGTCTATCTTTAGTGGTCTTCTTGGGGTCCCAGCGACTTGGGTACAACATTAATGTTTTCCCAAATTCACTTAAATGGGAAAGTCTCATCTCCAACTCTGAACTATTTTAACTACTTTAATTATATGCTACTCATTTAGTATTCAATTATAGATTGTCTTTCAATACATTTCCTAAATATCCTAAGCAACATAAATAATGCCATTTATGTTATTCTTTTGCGGTCACTTTAAGAGCTAGCCATGCCCACCCCAGCCACTTCTGACCTCCCCCTTCGCCATCTTTCTCTCTCCTGTGTTTGTCTCTTGTCGTGTACACACGTTTCTGTCTCTATGTCTTTATGTCTTTTTATTTGTCTATCTCTGTCTCTCTGTTTTTCTGTTTCTTTTTAAGTAATAAATGTTTACCCTTATGTTTATTTAATATGTCCTGTGAGCCTTTTATCCGCCGTAACCACCCGCCTGACTCCCCTGGCCGCATGGCACTGCCACCCTGGAGATCCTGCAGGGACCCACAGTCATCCTTGTCGGACTAGCAGCTGCTCTGCGAGCTGCCCGGGGCATCCCATCATCATATTCTTTTTAAAGAACAATAATGTACATACCCAATATTAATTTATTACTGATTGAAGTGAGTTACCAGACCACTTAAATTACAAATTCAGTAAAGATAAATACTTGTTAATATTATAAATTAGTATATAAATTAGTGTGTGAGTCTGCATAACACACTGAAAGAGGCCAGGTTTTAATCATCTACGTATACCTCCCACATAGTTTTGGGCAGAAATAACAAGTACTTTGCTAACACAATGAAAACTGAGCTGAGTTATAGACTACAGTAGACAAAATATATTATGGTTCTCCTTTGTATATATCCTAAAACCTAAAGAGCTAGAGACAAAGAAACCAGACCTGAAATTAAGTAAGGCATAGATAACTGGAAAAGGAAAGCAAACATTTAAACCAGAGGAGAAAGCATAGCTTGAGAAAAGCTATGAATGGTGTATGGAAAGAGTTGCACTAAGACAAATTTTCAGGAAAAAAAAACATTTCTTAGGAAAAATTGGGCAAATGGGTAGACAGATGACTGCAAATCATAGAGAGTTTTGCAAACTAGAATGATTGGCAGCATCTAATCTGGAACTAATATTTTAACCAGGTTTTAAAATACAGAAGTGGTAAAATGAAGGCACTGTTAGGAGGGTTCATTCTGTTAGTCTTCTGCTGTCACTTTAAGAACTAACCACGCCCACCCCAGCCACTTTGGACCTCCCCCTCAGCCATCTTCTCTCTCGTGTGTGTGTGTGTGTGTGTGTGTGTGTCTTTGTTCTCTCTATGTTTGTCTATGTTTTCCTTTCTTTAAGTAATAAATGTCTAGCTTTATGTATAGCCTTATGTCCATTTACTCTGCCGTCCACCGCATCCAGCCGCCTGACTCTGGCCCGGGACCCAGACTCCCCCGGCCACATGGCGCTGCCACTTGTAGCTGCTCCGCGAGCTGCCTGGGACATCCCACCATGGTATTATTTTTAAAAAGAACAATACATTCGCCACAGAAATTTTTGGTTTACATCACCATTGGGCAGACTTTCAGATAAGTCCTAAGTGATAACACTGCATGACTCTGAAATGCAGGACAGAGAGTATGCCAACTTTCAGTCTAGAAATGAGAACTGTGACACTGACTGAACAGATAAACCCAAGTCCTGACTTCTGGCCTAGCCTGGCCCAGCTGACCCTGGTAGATCAGATGATTTCCATAGCAGAAAAGCAGGAAGAGAGAACCTCCTCTAGTTAAAACTGTCTGCAGTCAGGTGTGGTGAAAACTAATCTTAGCACTTGGGAGGAGGCAGAAGAAAACACAGGTTTGGGTTAGCTTGGGTCACAGAGGCAGAATCTGTCTCAGAAAGCTTCTATTCCAGTATCTTAAGTTTATCTGGGAACCTCCTTAGAAGCTTCTAACTTCTTGACCTGGGAGAATTTTATTTTATGGTCAGAGCTACAAACAACAAATGAAATGGCAGAATTGTGATGGACAAGGCTCACAGAACCACAAAAACCTTTAACAGATGCCGAAGGCACCAGAAACCAGCAAGATGAAGATGGACAGCACTGCGACTGGGCATTGTTTCGTGATTTGTATATATTTACAAGTCCTGATCAACAAGACTGAAAACACCCTAGTGTAAAACACTGAGCACTTTCTAAGACTGCAGACAGCAACCTCACACAGGAATACTCATCCATGCAAGGGAACTGACTAAATCACATGATGATTTGAGGACAATAATTCTGAATACAGGAAATAAACAATCAGTGAAGAGTTCAGGAATAGAATATAGAACTAAAGGGTCCCATCCAGGAAAATGGAAATATAAAATTGTAAGCCCAAACATATTTTGGAAGAAAAATAAAGCTGGCAGCCATTGTTAGCCTTTAACAAATGCTTTCTGCCTTAACAGCAGACATCCTGGCATCCACTGTGTACAGAGGTAAACTTCTAACAATTGTCTCCTGCCTCCCAGCTTCCCAGCTAGGCAGGTACTGCAGACAAATCTTAGCTTCTAACTATTGCTCTATGTGATCCTCTGCTTGAATTTCATTAATTTTTAACTGTCCCCTATGTGACTCTACTCTCTGCCTTACATTCTTTCAGGGACAGTGAAAAGCAGCTGTGTCAGCCACAGGCTTTTGCAAACATCATAAGTTAATATCCTAACGTCCTATAACCAAAAGTTGTACAACTTAAAATGTAATGTAACTTTAAGCCTGACCTCAAGGTTGTAAAAGTTCTTTGACCCACACCTGGTGCTTGATTTTACTATAAGAGAAGGCCCAAAACCAACACCCATTGCCACAAGTTCAGAAGCTGATCTCTGGCTGTTTCCACAACGATAGCTTATAAGCTGTGTGTAGCCCATAGTGGCTGTTTTTTTCTGTAATAAAGCTTGATTCTGGTTTAATAGACTTTGGTGGTCTGTCTCCCCATCAATGCATAAACCTTGGACCCAATAGTTAGGTTAAAAAGAAAATTAGGATAGAGAGAATGAATCCATGAGGGAGCGAAAACTATTTCTGTAGAATTTTCCAGAAGACAGAAATTTTTAGAGTTTAAGAAATGAAAGGTGAGAAGCCATCTTTTGAGTTGTTAGGGCTGTCTAAAAGACTCCAAAAACAGAGTCCACTGCTGTTGCCCTTGATTGACCCCCAGAGGTTCAAGTTAAGTTCCTAATAGGGCCCAGAGGCCCTTGAGCTGGAGTTGACCTGAATGCCCCTTCCCTGAGGGTATTGATGGTATCAGAAAGTTCCAGCAAGCTTCAACAAAAAGCTCAGTTATGATGCCTATGAATCTCCTTGCTGACTTTAGAGAAAACAATGACAGAAAGGTGGGCAATTAGTAGGTTGGGTCCCAAGGAAGGATGTACTTTTCAATGACTTTGTTTCTGTCTGTACACTAAGAATACTGGTGACCTAGAAACTTCAAAACCATGGAAGGGGGTCAGCAATATAGTCAAAGAAGTAGAAAGCTTTTAAACAGTAAACCTACTCTATCGTTCTAAAAATGATAAGAACGATAAATTTCTAAAAAGAAATAGAAGACATAAATAAAAACCAGACAGAAACTGTACTTTGGAAACATGCTCACCTGAGATAAGTAAAAGAATATCATCAGCAAAATGGAAAGAAAACAAACCTTACTAGATTAATGTTGATGATAGACTAAGAGGGAAGAAAGGAGAGCCAGACACTTGACTAAAGCACAGGAAAAACAACACAGTGAAAACAGAAGCAGCAGTAGCTCCCAGGATTAGATCCCAGGGATCTTAGCAACAGCAACAACAAAAATCTAGATTTGTGTCTGAAATTTGAGAGAAGAACATGGGTGGGCTCAAAAAGTGATATCAGAAAATGTTCATCAACTCCATCAATGCAGCAGTCTTTGTAGTGACAAACAGCTCTGTCTTTTCATTGTGGTGGTGACAGCAATAAAATGGCAGCAGATAATCACATATACTGTACCAATGATAACTCACAAGTGTAGTTATGTAACATGTAGTCATTGGAGAAGCTCATATAGAATGTCTCTGTAATATTTTTAAAATGACTCATGAACCTACAATTGTTTCAAAATAAAGTTTAAAATTAACTATGAATATGTGTAAACTAAAAATATCATTAAAAATATACATACAAATTTTCCACAAAAATCCTATTTCTTACATCTTTTTCCTAAGCTAGAATTATAAAGAGATGAGTAAATCTAATAAGAATCTATAGATGGGGATGGCAACAAGGCAGGAGACAGAAGCTTTTTCCTTGGAAAATCTGTAATTCATTGGTTTTTAAAGAATATGAATGTCACATTTTAGGATTTTAAATAAACACTCATTTACTATAGTAAATAGTGTTCTTAAATTAAACAATAAACTTTATGAATCTGAGTATAAAACCACCCTGAATAGTAGGTAACATCAAAATAGCAATCCAACTTTTGAAACTGTATTCTAAGGAGATAATTATTAAGAGAAGAACAATGGGGGCGAGGATATATCTCAATGGCAGAACATTAGCATAACATGAACAAGGTCCTGGGATTGAGCCCCAGCTCCAATAAAAATAAATAATAAAAAGGAAGATACAGAGCAAATATGATCAACACACATGTACTTGTATAAATGTCCTTAACACATTACCACATGTTATAAAATATTTTATATGATGGCGGCAGAAAGACATTACAACAAATCACACTGCTTTACAACCTGATTCTACACTCTGAAATATTAGGACTTAACTTAGAGATTAATTTTTCATAGTGACAAATAGCAAAGCATATGGCTTTGAAGTCTGAGAAAAGTCACCACTGAAACTTCGGAGATAGTTCAGTGGGTAAAGAACTTGCTGTACAAGGAAGAGGACTTGAGTTCACATCCCTAGATAGGCATGATTACATATGCTTGTAACCCTAGTACTGGGGATGGTTAGGCAGGTGGAGCCCAGAAGTTCAGTGTCTATCCAGCCTAGTAGAAATGCTGAGATTCTCACTGAGTAGAGACTCTGTCTAAAGGAAGTAAAGTAGAGAATGACAGATGAAGACACCTGAAGTCCTCATCTGGACTCCACATGTGTCCTTAAAGGCACAAGCACCATGTACATACTTGTATGCACACACTCTGTATAAAACAGCAATTTACTTGTAGTCGTAGTTGGTGTGTACTCCAATAAGCCAAGAAACTGAAGAACCTCTGTGAACTGAGGTTCATAAAAACCAAGTGTTTGAAACTGTATTCTCCAACCTACATTCAGTGCAGAAAGAAGAGGTAGGACTCACCAGTTGTAATCTAGTCGGGACTGGTGCAGCTGTTGCTGTTTGAGGAGAAGCTTTGTCTCTTGTTGAGCCAGAAGATGCTGAAGGCGTTCCTTTTCAATTTCTAGTTCCATTTTCTGAAGCATCAACTGTTGCCTTCGATCTTCTGAGTGTTGCTTTTTTACATCAGTTTCACTGGGTTGCAATGTCACTCTACCATGCATGAGAGATGCCCAGGAAAACCCACAATGACATGATTCCATATGTGTCTTACAATACTGAGGGGCCATGCTTGCAGGCTGATAGTTCTCACGAACATAGTCTTCACTTTCAGAGCATTTATGACCACAGTACTGACTTAATGGAGTATGTGAAAGGTGTGGATATTCCTTTATCTTCAACTCTTCTGAAGATAGGACTTTCTCTATTGGGGCTGCATCTACTGGTTTCCTCCCTAGAGATTCAGAAGTACCTGTTCTGGTTTCTGATGACACCCTCTCTAAACCCTCTTTGTGATGATGAAGTGTTATTGGTTTAAAAGAATTATTTCTCAATGCCGTATGGGATTCTGAAACTGAGTCCTGGTTTGCTGACTTAGGCCTTGCCTTGGTCTGACAGTAGGTTTGTGGTTTGGCTACACTCAGGTAGGAACCATCCAGGTCCATCAATGCAGATTGGTGAGTACTTTTCCTGTTGGTTATCTAAAAAGAAACATGGGAAAAACAACTTCTGGTTTTTCTTTTTCAGTGATATATATTCAATAAAACAAAACTTGTATTTCTTTTTCTTAAATATGACAGTATCTACATTGCTAATATTCCACAAAGCTACATCAATTTCAAACAACCTTTATTTCAGCAAATCTATAGGAGGATAAGAAAGGTCCAGCATTATTCCATGTTTCTTTTGCAAATCTTTGGTGGTTTTAGGAGTTGCAAGTACTTAAGGTTACATAAATTCAACTTTAAGATGTCAACACATTAAACATTAATATCTAAAAATGTCTATCTTTGAATATTGAGTCAAGAAATTCATGTAGTCACTTTAAATATTCTTTGATTAGCTATTATAGAGAACAAGATTTGATGTAAAACATTTCATATTATTCTGAATAGCTACTGTTAGATGAATTTTTATAAATACCTTTAGAGAACACAGATAAAACTACTTTCATCATACATAATTTCAATAAAAAGCAATTATTTAAATATTTTTAAGTTCAGCTACAAACATAAGTGATTTTTCAATTAAACCATTCAAGTGATTACAGTCTAATAGAACTCAGGCAGATAGGGAGCAGTTGTAAATCTAAGCTGCCAGGTGAAGAGCAAGCTTTCCCAACATTTTAGTTGTAAACCTGTTCTAGTGGGAGAGTGAAACTTCATCTATATCAATTATTCTCAAACTGGAGCGGGCATGAGAATTACCTGAAAGGCTTGTTTCAGTCACAGTTTCTAACTCTGTTCAGAAGAGTCAGCTCATCTGCATCTATAGGAAGGTTTCAGATGATGCTGATGTTGAAATGGGACCAGCATTTGAAAATTCCCAGTCTAGACTATGGAATCTAACTGTTTATACCGACCTCAGAAAACTGAGTGAGTACTAGTTCAGCTCTGAATATCTTTGATTTACTATAAGTAAGTGACTTTTCCTCTCAGTGCCTTTTATAAACATGGTATATCCAAATTCTAGCCTGCCTAGATTAAAATAGTTTAGGATCAAGCAAATGCTGAGTGTAGCAAAGATAAGCAGCTTATTCGTAAAGTTGGATACTTGGGATTAACAAAACATTAATAAAATTAATGCAGAAGAATTTTAATCAAATTAAATTGATAGGGAAGAGTATAATTCTGAAAATTAATCCAACAAAGTCTAGATTCTTCCAAGGACAGATAATATTCTATAGCCAAAACTTAGATATTAGGCATAACATATGAGAGTCACCAAGTACCAATTACTTAAGTACAAAGATTGGTTCTTCAAAGTGGCATTATTACTAGCTGTGTAGATTCCTTTTGGGAAGCCATAGTATAAGTTTTAGAACAAAGGCTGAAAGGCACAGATCATCTACCTCTGAAGAAAACACAGTCGCCAACATAGACTCCACTGAAAGATAAGCCAAGAGAAGACTAAGCAAATGAGAAAGAGGTTTGAAATATTCTTTATGACATCCACTCACACCTACCTCTTCCTTTGGCTTTCATGTACAAACTCTTTCATTTACATAAACTCCTCTACTTTCTTGCCATTTCCTATCTGGATTCAAGAAAAGTCCAGAAAGCCATTAATAGTACTAAACAGTACTATTAACCAAACAAGTGAAAGAATCTTAAATCATGTTGTCTAGATTTCATTGTGTCTTGAGCAGCTACTTTGTTACAAGTTACTCAAGGCTGGGTACAAATACTGAGACAGAATAATGGCATATTGTTCATAAATAATCGTCATCTGTCTTAACATCATAAAGCATAGACTTATTCATGCTTATTAAAAAATACCACCTTTAAGCTTATTGAACAGACCAAATCAATGAAAGCAGCAGCCACAAATCTGAACATAGCAGAACCACCCGAGCCCACACCATGGTGCACCATCTTGACACTTGTCATTGGCCATTGCTTAGGAGATTGCCAGATGACACACTTCCAACTGTACCTTGACTTGGTTCAGCCTGATCCTACCGTCACTGACATCACCAACTTCAAAGTTGTCAAGTTCCCTCAACCGAGCACCTGCCTACCTGAAATGGCTCTCTGATTGGTACCAATGATTTACTACCTGTTAGCTTTTATATACTCATTTTTAACTTTGGCACCTATATGTAATTGATTGAAGTGTGATGTATCATTACCATAGTCATGACTTCAAAGGAACGTATAAGTACTTGGTTAAGGTGAATCTATTAACACTCAATATATTCTGACATTGTAGAAGGGCACAAAGGTGTCTATATGTTAAAGACACAGCTTGCTAATAACATACCCACTGAAGTATTTTTTTTTACTTTTCCTGGACAATTATCTGCACACTGAGCTTATTTGCTCAAGGTTGTTGACAGAAATATCCCTCTCACAATAAACTAATAAATTACAATTACTACATTCATTTCATATTGCCATTATAGTGAATTACTACAAATGTGGCAGTGTACGACAACACAAATGTCTTCTCCAAAGATTATGGAGGTCAGAAATTAAAAATCTATCTCACTGGGCTCAAATCCAGGTTTTGGTAGGGCTTGTTCCTATTGGAAGCCCTGAAGACAGAATCTATTTCCTTTTTGTTTCTTAAAGCACCTAGTGACCATATATATTCCTTGGTTTGCAGTCTCTCCTCCATCTTCAAAGTGCATCACTCCAGATTCTGCTTCCAACATCATAGTGTCCTGTGCTCTGACTTCTTTCTTACTCCTTTTGGTCTATAGGGGACACCTGTCCAGGTAATCCAGGATGATTTCTTCACCTTCAAATCCGTAGTTTAATCACATATGCAAAGTCCTTTTGTTCATAAAGACCACTTAGCCATATAAGTTGATATTTATGGTTTGCAGGATTTAGGGCATTGGGGTGTGTGTGTGTGTGTGTGTTGAATCTACATATCTTTTTAAATGAACTAATTCATGAACAGTTTAAATAGTTATTTAGACAGAATGAAAGAGTTCTGAGATCTTTGGCAGTAGAAATAAACATCTCCCCAATTTACAAGAGCTGAAAAATGATGGATATTCAACAACTTCTGACAGAAAGGGCTATGTATATATCTGTGTATGGAACATTTGTGCTTACACATACTATATTCTCAATAAGCATGCTTTGACTGCATGCTTTGTTATTGGAAAAATTCAAGTTGAGTTATAGGCTAGTTATGAAAAAAAAGTGTCTTAGGACTTAATGGAAAAAGAAGAACCACAAAGCCAGTCGGGGCTCTTGTAGCAGGTTCCAGACCAACTTGGCCTCCAGAGAGACTTCTCAAATCATATGTTACCAAGAGAAGATGAGAAAAGACATAGAAAACAAACTTCCTAAAAGGTTCTAAATGCAAAATTCAGCTACTTTATTAGCAGAGTTGAAGATATCTAATGCCTTTGGGACCCATGCAAATAACAACAGACCTGAATGAAACATGTGTTTTTCTTTCTAGAGCTGCTCCATTAACAAACACAAATTCACTTAACAAAGGTTTAAACTAACAAAAAGTTCTGAATTGTTTCTGTGGTATGTGGGTGTTTAAAAACCTGCATAACATATTTCAGTGTTTGTACATGCACGCACACAGGTGTGCACCAGCACAAAGCTACCATGATGCTCACAGAGAGACCAGAGAACAACTTGTGGGAGTTCGTCCTTTCCTTCAATCATACAGGTCCTGAACACCTCTATCACCCACAAGCTTCCTTGTATGTTTTCTGGTCAACATCACTGCTCTGTGCTCATCAGTTATACCTTTACTGATTTACACCTACAGTAAATGAACATTCATTTTTTTTATCACTGCATGGTATTTTGTTGTATGGCTAAGGCACAATTTATTTTTCTCTTATTAATGGGGGGACAGCCATTCAGAACTCTTATAGAGCTGCTATTGTTCATACATAAGTGTTTTAAAAATATTTTTATTTTTTGAAATTTAAATATAATTATATCATTTTTCCACATTCCATCCCATTTCTTTCTTCACACACAAACCTGCCTAGGTCATTTAATGTTATCTATATGTATGTGATTTTAGGCTGACCACTTGGCATTGAATAACCAATTTGGGGGCTCTTCCCTCAGAAAGAATGTTTTTCCCACTCGCAGCATTTTGTAGTATTTTATGTAGGGCTTGGGGACCCATCTTATTTTTTTCCTTCCATGTTAGCATGTCTTTTGGTAACATCTTTGTTCAAGATTTGTTTAGAGCCAAGTTGGTGAGAATCCTTTGACATTTCTAGGAGATGGAATCTCACAGAAAACTTCCGTTGTCTGGCTTTTGGAAATAAGAGTTGTATAGTAGATGTATCCACGTGTTTTCAGTGTTTTGATAGGTTGTGGTTTTTTTTAATGGTCTCTGTCTGTAAATTTTTCTCTGTAATTGAATAGTAGTCCACAGTGTATATTTACCACATGTTCATTATTTGTCTGTCAGTTGAAGGACACCCAGGTTATTTCCATTCCTAATTACTGTGAGTAGTGTGGTATATGCCCAAGAAGCACACTAGCCGGGTCATATGGTAGATTTATTCTCAGCTTTTTAAGGGCTCTCCACAGAGAATAAAAATGACGCAAAAGTTTCCTCACAACCCCATTCAGACTGGGGTAAGATGAAATCGTCATTTTTTGAGGTGTTTCTTTGTCATTTTTTTCTTTTGATAGCAATCTTTTCAGGTTCCCGGAATATATTTTGAATTGGTTGGGGTTTTTGTTTTGTTTTTAATCTCTGTTTTTGGAGTTCTTTATATATTCTGGATATTAATTCTCTGTCACACATATAGTTGGCAAAGATTTTCTCCCATCCTATTAACTCCTTCTTTAAGCGCTATTTTAGCTGCAGAACTTTTTAGTTTTATGAGATCTCACTTCTCAATTATTGGCAAATGGGGTTCTATTCAGAAAACCCTTTCGTACAACTGTATCATTAAGATCCCTAGCAGTTTCAGTGTATATGGTTTCACATTTAGGTCTTTGATCCATTTGGAGTTAGTATGGTGCAAGGTGATAGA